TCAAAATCATCATCTGGGTAGTACCTGAATCTTTATACTCATCAGTGAAAATTCTATGATTCCTTTCACCCCAACTAGAATAAACTGTGACAACAAGACATAGCTTCCTAATTGAATTCTACAGATTCTTGCCTTTCCATTGGGTGGACATAGCTTCAATGAGACTCTGCCAAGAAGAAGATCGCCATGACCAATCACACTTACTGATGACATTCCTCCAAAATCTCTCTGAGTATGAGCATTCAAAAAATAGATGGGAGTGTGATTCTTGATCATCTCTACATAGGACACAGACAGTTCCACAAGTGGCTGTAAAACTATGGATTTTGTTTATTGTGGCCAATCTATTCCTTATAGCAAGCCAAAGGATAAAGCTGGTCCTAAGAATGTAAAGATTGAACCAAATAAGATGGTACCACAGCACCTCTGGTTTTTTGGTCCTAATTTGATTCCAAGCTGAAGACGTAGAGAATTTGCCATTTACTTAGGGAAGCCATTTGATCTCATCCTTTGTCTCAATTGTTGGGGAGTAATTGGGCATAGTAGAAATGATCTCCTCAATGATTCTGGAGTTTCTAGGATTAACTGAAGGCCACCTCCACTAGTTTCCTTGGATAATGGAGGCAACCTTGGCATTCTTAGGGATCCCAGTATCATAAATCACTCTGGGACCCCATATAAGAAGGAGAGGACTATTAGGATGCCAAAAATCATGCCAAAGAGATGTATTCCTACCATTTCTAATAACATAAAGGATGAAAGGTCTTGCTAATTCCCTGACTTGCAGCAACTTCCTCCAATTCCATGAACAGACGTGAGATGGTTTGGCTTCTCATATGCTCTTGCCTCAAAGATGGTGTTCCTTGATCCAGCTGGTTCAAGTGTTATTCTCATTAGAAATTAAGTGCCAGAGATGCCTGAGCATGAGGGCTTTATTCCATGCCCTTAAATCTTTCAATCCTACGCCTCATTTCTTTATGGGTACACAAACTTCACTCCAAGCATCTTTGGCCCCCTTTGTTTTCATTTCATCATTTCCAAACCATAAAAAAGATTTTTAATTTTTTTATGTATCATTCACACAAAAATTGATTTCGTTTAAAATAAGAAAAGACTCCCTGAAATTGAACAATATTAAATCAATCACACTCGAAATATGTAAGGGGAGAATTCATAGAAATGTTCAAAACCCCAAACACTACCAAATCGGGATTGTAATTTTAATTATACCAAAGTTACTAAAAAGTAATATCACATGTCGTCTAGATTTTAGGAAAATTAAAATGATTAGACAACTAATCACTGTGCATGAAAATATAAGTAAATTCTAATTCTATCAAACTAAAAAAAAAAAAAAATCAACAAATTTCCAAAACCCTCTTACATCAGTAGCACGGTTTTATCCGAACAACTTCTATAATCTAAACGGTGGGTCCTACACAGAATAGCCTGGCATGGTGTTTGTTCACTTTCCCATTGGTGCAATTCGGAAGTCATAACCAGTTGAATCTGTTCTCAACTTCTCATGGTGACTTCCCATTTTTGGTTGCTTCAGATTAGATTGCAACTGTCAAAGCTTCATTAGGTGGAGTTTGTTTGATTTCGTTTGAAAATCTAGTTGAGAAGAAGGTGAACTAACCACTGCTTCTTCACACTTACCCACATACATTAAATCCAAATATTACAACAATGCAAACATTTTCTCAGTATAAATATAACCCTTGGTAACTTCTTTCCTTCAACTCAAAACAAGAAGTTGTAATCACATTCAGAGAGCTATCCCTTCTATTCATATTTCTTCTTCAGCATAACAAAATGGCTGCTTTTAACCATTGCTCCATTCTCTCTTTGATCCTAATTTTATCACTTTCAAGTATCCAAATGAGCCTAGGAGCTCGCCACCTTCTGCAAACTTCTGCACCAACACTGCCTACAATTCCATCTCTCCCTAAGCCCACGTTGCCACCGTTGCCAGCAATGCCAACGATCCCGACTCTGCCGAAGCCGACGTTGCCACCTATGCCGACCACCCAGATTCCCTCGCTGCCCACCATGCCCACCATTCCGCAGGTGTCCATACCGCCCCTGCCAGCCACTTCGCTGCCCACCATCCCTTCAATTCCTACAATTCCTACGACAATCCCTTTCCTCTCTCCACCACCATCAACCACTAGCCCTTGAGATGCCAGCAGTTCATTCACACCATTGATCCTTATTTACTCGGAGCCAAATGTTATATGGTTTAGTACTATTAGCAGTGTCTTCTGATTGTGTTGAGAGTCCTGGGATGTTATGGAACCGGTCATGGTTTTGTGTTTACTTGTGTCTGTATTTCATTAGGATTGGGTGAATCCTACGCTTTGAATGTACTCTAGGATTTTCTTTGCATTATATTCTTCTTTATGGCAGATTGGATTGTGTTGTAATTGATTGGTTCTTCCTTCTTATCAATATGAGTCCTTATGATTTTTGTTCATGAGATCTAAAAAAATGTACATCGATCAACTGTGACTTGCGTATGCATTTGGACTAAATTTGCTGATCAAATCCGCTATTGTCATTATATTAAAAAGACTAAAGATCATTATCTAACAACTCAAAACTATATCAAAATCAAAATTCAATGGCAATCCAGAAATATCACAAACTACATATAATTGAGATAATTGTTCCTCGTTTTTTCTGTCTATAGGCTATATATATATATATATATGACATTACCCGATATTGCATCACAACTTTTGTCGTCTTCATCGATTCCACCAAACAACTACAACAACTTCAGTTGTTGTATCATCACATGAGGGATTGCCGTTAATTTTGCCTTCATCTCTTTCCACAACATTCTCTTCTTTGTAACATTCAAGAGACTCCCCTACATCACTTCCATCATTATTTCAATATTTTCTTCATCTGTCACTTCAATTTTTTTTTGCCGTATTTACAACTGCATAATTAGTAAATATCGGAGTACTTGCCTGACTATCCTTTCTTTAATCATGGTGTCCCTATAATAATTTTTTTCTATCATCCCGACGTACATACCTCGCTACAAATAACCAATTCAACTTCGGCCAAGGCGAAATTTGATCTTTTTGTTGCCTCACATGCAAAAACCACGCTAGTTCGCACCATGAACAAGTTTATTCTATAGTTTATAAGCCAATAATTTCACATCATTTGAAACGTCAATGTAATCAGAAAAACTTCTCAATCTTGGATAACCAATTTTAAAAATGTTTATGCGAGGATAGCCATCAAAACTTTTTTTTTGGGAAAGTAAAATATATTCACCTTTGCAAATTTACATGTACATGTAAGATAACCTATGTGTTTATCAAAACAGACCAAAAACAAAAGGGGAGCAAGCACCTGAACTGCTAGAAGTTCTGTCTTGTGACAAAACTTATGGCAGTTCAGAGCATTCATGATGGAGCATTAGAGGATCAAGCATTAGACACAGAGTTACTCCAATGCTAGAGAAATGCAATATTCTGGGTGGATTGCTTGAAGGAGGCATTGAGAAGTTTATCGCTAATCACATGAAGGATGGACTTCAAAACATTAGTTGCATCACTGAATTCATTCTTGAAGACTCTGACATTTCTTTCTCTCCATTCGTATAGACAGAACTGAAAAGATTGAGTTTGAGCACCATAATTTTGGGGGATTTCCCTTTCCACTGGTTGGAGGCTAAGTGGATAGTTGGTAACCAACATGGGTGGAACCAAGAGGCCATAGAATGACTAAGCACTTTGTTCCATATTTCACTTGTGAAAGGGCAGTCAAAAAACAAATGGTTGATTCTTTCCTCTGTTAGTCAACAAAACACACATGTCGTTTTAATGTTTTGCATATAAGTCTTGATTCGATCCCTCATTCCAAGATTCCCATGAGTAGCAATACAAAGAACAAAAGGCATCCTAGGGATGTATTGAAGATACTATACAAGCTTGTGCCTAGGGGACCTTCAGACCAGAGGTATAAAATGATTCCCATTCTGAATGGACTGTATAATGACCACTAGGATCAGGGAGCCATTTGATTCTATCAACAAGCAGAGAGTTGGGAGTATAGGATGGCATATAAACTTGGTAGATAAACTTTATACAAGAATTTCTATACTCATACTCATGACTTCTACAATGTCTGCCATAATTATAGCTATCAAACATTCTTACGACATACTCATCATTATCACTGGAATATACAGTATGAATATATTGTGGCCTGAAGGATAGAGATCTCGAACAAATTGAACACGAACGTTATTGTTAAACATTCCTATGAACCAGTTTGATTGATTCAGTAATATCCTTTTTCAAAGAACCATTTTCATTTTCGTATGGATTCAGCTTTTGTGTGCATGTTTGATGCATAAAAAATGGTGATTTATTTCTGTCATTGTTACTACTGCCTCAATTAATGATATCAGAACCTTAATTGACCTTGAAATAGTTGCTAATTGGCAAAGTGGGGGAGGCTTCCAGGTGATAATGTGCAAGAGGCTCTTGCGAGAGCCAAGTTCATGATTCTTTGATGTGGGACCCAGCAAACCTTTCATACTTTGACTATTCAGTTGTTTGGTCAACATTGAGAACGATTTTAAGTGCTCTCAAAATAGAATTGTAAGTAATTATACAAAAGCTACTAAAAAGAATAAAAACACATGTCGTCTAATCACTCACAGAAATAAAATATCCCCAATTAAATTCTAATTATAGAAAAATAACAAAAACCAATAAATTTTCAAAATCGTCCTAAATTAAGGGGGTTTATCAGAATAACTTCAATAATCTAGGAAAAATACTATTTATACTTAATTTGAAAACCTAATCAATTACAAATATTAGATTAATAGTAATTTTATTTAATATTGGAACTCATAATTACTTTAATGATTACAATAAATTAAATCTACAAATTAAATACCTATAACATTGATCATTATCTAAACTATCTCGATCGTTGTACAAATGATCTCATGGGGTGGAGTTTGTTCACTTTCCCAAGGGTACAATTCGCAAGTCATAACTAGTTGAATCTGCCCTCAAATTCTTATGGTGACTTCCCATTTTCGGTTGCTTCAGATAGAGTGCAAGTGTCAAGCTTCCCTAGGTGGAATGAGTTAGATTATATCTGAAGTTGCAAGAAATTTAGTTGAGAAGGTGAACTAACCAGTGCTTCTCCACACTAATTACCCACCTACAATCCACTTCCTACGTTAGACTAATTCAACACTTCTCTCAATATAAATAGCCCTCAGGCACTTCATCCATTCAACCGAAAACCAGAGATTCTGATCACACTTCAAATAGATAGCTCTTTCTACTTATCTGCTTTAGCAAACAATAATGGCTGCTTTTAACCATTGTTCTATTCTGTCTTTGATCCTAATTTTATCACTTTCAAGCATCCAAATGAGCCTCGGAGCTCGCCATCTGCTTCAAACTTCTGCACCAACACTGCCTACAATTCCATCTCTGCCTAAGCCCTCACTGCCTCCATTGACAGCAATGCCAACAATCCCAACAGCCCCGACTTTGCCGAAGCCCACATTCCCGCCTCTGCCGGCCACCCAGATTCCCTCGCTGCCCACCATACCCGCCATTCCAAAGGTGTCGCTACCTCCACTGCCAGCCACTTCCCTGCCCACCATCCCTTCGATTCCTTCCATTCCGACGACATTCCCTTCCATTCCTTTCCTGTCTCCACCACCATCTACCAGCAGCCCTTGAGATGCCAACGTTTCTTTCACTCCATTGATTGATATTATGGAGCCGCTCATGGCTCTATATTTACTCATGTTCGTATTTCTTTAGGATTGAGTAAATCCTATAGTTTGTTGTAAGTTATGTTAGATTGGTGTGTTTTGTAGTTGATCGGGTTTTATCAATAAAAGTCCTTACTTTTGATCATGAGAGAGCCTCAAAAGATCAATAATGATCAATCGTGATATGATTAGTGTATTTTGGACTAAATTAGCTGATCGAAATCGCTATTGTCATTGGATTAAGAAAATTATTACACTTTAAAGTGGAAGTACTTGCTTGAACAATCCTACCATCCTTCATGTAGTCTAGGTGTTGCCAAAATAAAATTTGTCTATGATCTCGAGTTACAAGCTTCTCTATTAACAACCACTTCATCTTCAATCATGGCGAAATTTCAACGATTTTTGTTGCCTTGAACACGAAACTACTTTCATTTTCACCCTGACCAAGCTTTACCCTATAATCTATAAGTCACCAATTTCATATTCTCTTTATCGTTTGAAGCCTCAATATAATCAAAAAAATTCTCAACCTTGACTAACCAATTTTTTTTTTAAAAAAAAGTGTTATATGAAAGTAACCATCAAAACTGGGTGAATAAATTTTCATAAATGTATTATCGTCTCAGGGGAAAGATAGAGACCTTCACTAGGTTGAACATGAATGCTACCATTGTTATAATCTCTAGTTTAATGTAGATCTAGAATCGTTCTTAACATTGAACTAACAACTAAATAGTGAAAGTATAAAAGGCTTATTTGGAGTCCATATCGAAAAAACAAGAACTGAAGCTCTCGTGAGATCCTCTTCCACATGATCACTATTCACTCTATACGAAATAAAAATTCCTAACTAAATTCTTACTCTCATAAAAATCAATAAATTTTTAAAACAATCCTACATATGTAGCGCGAAGGATTTATTAGAATGAGCAACGCTATTGTAACATAATTTAAGAATATAATGATTGTGATAATTATATTATCAATGACTCCCAGCATTAAATGTATTTTATTATCAATTCAATTGTCACAATGCATTATATCTCTAAATTATATTTAATTTTATCATTTTTTAGCATTCTTATGGTATGTTTAGTAGGAGGAATAAAAAATAGTATGGATGAAAAAATAAGATGGATGCATTTTCAATTTTTTGAGGAAAGAAATATATTTTTCCTCTTTCTTGTTTGGTAGGAGGGATGAAAGAATAGAGAAAATAAATTTTTTATGGTATGAAAATATTTATAAAAAAAAAATACAACTTTTAAATTACATGAATACCCTTGTGGTTGTAGAAAATATAGAATAAAAATATTTCATGGGTCCCACCATTATATTGGTTTATCTTGGAAAACGAAAGTGAACCCCACCACTTTTGTTTTGTTCATTCAAAACAACTATCACTTTTAATGGGTATTATAGTAAATTTAATAAGTATGATTATTTGCCAGCACTTCTCCTCCCATTTTTTGCCCAAATTTGGGCAGATTACAAATGGTGGGAGTGAGGAATAATTTTTCTATCCTGTTTTCCTTTCCTCTCCATTTTCTATCCCAACCAAACAAAGGAAAGTCCCTCTTTACCCTCCACTTTCTATCCATCTCTTTCCTCCAAGCCATCTATACTTGATGGTTTTTGTTCGAGCAATTGCTCAAACTTTGAAGCTCATATAAGCTACTGTTTGGGACACTTTTTTTTATTTATCAATCGTTTTGGATTTTGTAATCATTTTGTTGATCCTTTTGCTGTTACATGCATGATCGTCTATTCTCATGTTAAAAAGATCAATCATCTCTTTGAAAACACCTTAATTTTTTGATTTTAATAGAATTAGTTTATTTACCAAAAACGAATAGCATTCTAATCTAAACTATTCGGAACCTACACAAAATCAAATGGCATGATGTATGTTCACTTTCCCACTGGTGCAATTCGGAAGTCATAACCGGCCTGTTGAGCATGTTCTCCACTTCTCATGATGACTTCCCAGTAGCTTCAGATAGAGTGCATGTGTCAGGCTTCGTTAAGTGAACTTGAAAGAAATCTAGTTGAGAAGGTGAACTTAAAAAAACGAGGAATACTATTTACATCTAAAAATTTGACTTAATTTGTTGATATAATGATGTGATTTCAATCGAACTATTGAATCAACATCAAATTCTAATATTTAATAGGTTTCACGGTCAATACAAAGGTTATAGTAAATTAAGTCAACAAATTAAGTCAGTAAAATAAATCCCAATATCGTTGCTAAAAAAAAAAAGTGCTCGGTCACACCTACCACCTACAGCCCCCATCAAATATTACAAAATTCAATTACTTTTCGAACTATCAATAACCCTTAATTAGGAACTCTGTTCTTCAACTCAAAACAATAGATTCTGATCATACTTCAAAGAGGAAGCTAGTTAGCTCTTTATACTTCAATGGCTTCTTTTAACCGTTGTTCCATTCTGTCTTTGACACTAATTTTATCACTTTCAAGCATCCAAATGAGCCTCGGAGCTCGCCACCTTCTGCAAATTTCAACACCAACACTGCCTACAATCCCATCTCTCCCTAAGCCCACATTGCCTCCACTGCCAGCAATGCCAACAGTCCCGACTCTGCCAATGCCCACGTTGCCGCCTTTGCCGACCACCCAGATTCCGCCACTGCCCACCATTCCAAAGATGTCGCTGCCACCTCTACCCGCCACTTCGCTGCCCACCATCCCTTCGATTCCTACCATTCCGACCACAATCCCTTCCATTCCTTTCCTCTCACCACCACCATCAACCACTAGCCCTTGAGATGCCAATATTCGATTCACACCATTGATTTTCCTGGATTTATCATTTCTTTGGAGCCATTGTATCTGTCATGGTTTTGTAGTATTCGTATTTTGTTTGGGCTGAGTAAAATCCAACAGTTTGTACTGTATTCAGGATTTTGCGTCAATTTATATTCTTTTTTCTGTAAGGTATGGTCCTAGATTGAAGTGTGTTGTAATTGATTGGTTTTTATGAATATCAGTCCTTATTTATGTTGACTTTAATCTACTCCACAGGAGTGTTAATTACAGAAAAATTATACATTAATATATTCCACACTAACTGGAGTTCATAGTTCGTTACACCAAGTACTGCACTTACACCGCAGATTTGAGTTCGCGAATGATCCTCTTTAAATTTGTATTAATTTCGTCTACCATATGATTCTTCCAACTTTTACTATAGACAGAAGCCTTACATAATAAGTACAATCAATTCGGAATTGAGGTTCATGTACTAAAGATTTATCCATTGCCAAATATACAACAAAGAGCTGGCATATCCTCATGTCATAAGATCTAAGATTGATCCTCTATGTGCAGTGAGAATGGTCAAATTTCAGAATAGGAAAATGTCATGGACTCCACAACATGCATTGTNAAAAAAAAAAAGTGCTCGGTCACACCTACCACCTACAGCCCCCATCAAATATTACAAAATTCAATTACTTTTCGAACTATCAATAACCCTTAATTAGGAACTCTGTTCTTCAACTCAAAACAATAGATTCTGATCATACTTCAAAGAGGAAGCTAGTTAGCTCTTTATACTTCAATGGCTTCTTTTAACCGTTGTTCCATTCTGTCTTTGACACTAATTTTATCACTTTCAAGCATCCAAATGAGCCTCGGAGCTCGCCACCTTCTGCAAATTTCAACACCAACACTGCCTACAATCCCATCTCTCCCTAAGCCCACATTGCCTCCACTGCCAGCAATGCCAACAGTCCCGACTCTGCCAATGCCCACGTTGCCGCCTTTGCCGACCACCCAGATTCCGCCACTGCCCACCATTCCAAAGATGTCGCTGCCACCTCTACCCGCCACTTCGCTGCCCACCATCCCTTCGATTCCTACCATTCCGACCACAATCCCTTCCATTCCTTTCCTCTCACCACCACCATCAACCACTAGCCCTTGAGATGCCAATATTCGATTCACACCATTGATTTTCCTGGATTTATCATTTCTTTGGAGCCATTGTATCTGTCATGGTTTTGTAGTATTCGTATTTTGTTTGGGCTGAGTAAAATCCAACAGTTTGTACTGTATTCAGGATTTTGCGTCAATTTATATTCTTTTTTCTGTAAGGTATGGTCCTAGATTGAAGTGTGTTGTAATTGATTGGTTTTTATGAATATCAGTCCTTATTTATGTTGACTTTAATCTACTCCACAGGAGTGTTAATTACAGAAAAATTATACATTAATATATTCCACACTAACTGGAGTTCATAGTTCGTTACACCAAGTACTGCACTTACACCGCAGATTTGAGTTCGCGAATGATCCTCTTTAAATTTGTATTAATTTCGTCTACCATATGATTCTTCCAACTTTTACTATAGACAGAAGCCTTACATAATAAGTACAATCAATTCGGAATTGAGGTTCATGTACTAAAGATTTATCCATTGCCAAATATACAACAAAGAGCTGGCATATCCTCATGTCATAAGATCTAAGATTGATCCTCTATGTGCAGTGAGAATGGTCAAATTTCAGAATAGGAAAATGTCATGGACTCCACAACATGCATTGTAAAGCAGACTGAGCAGCTTCTAATCCTTTGACATTCTTCAAAACTTGATCTTTCTTTAAATTGGATCCCTCTTAAGACACATTTTCTTAATGTCCCTCAAGGAAAGATATTCCAACCTGAATAAGTGGGCCTGCCACCAATATATGATATAATATTGAGAAAAATTTTAAAAAAAATGTTTATTAATGTGGATTTGGATCCATCCACTATAGCATTCGAGCCAATTATTTTGATGAATTTTTTTTTCCTCGACATTAGATCCAGAATCCAGAATAGGTAAGCGGTAAACATATTTACATCTATTTTCAAGAAGTTGATATTAACTCAAATTTCTGTCGCTCGGATGAATTTGCAACTATATATGTTGCCCTATATGTAGCCTTTATTACTTCAAACTATCTACATAATAAATAAAATTGACAAACTACTGTGTACATGAAAATTACAAAATTACTGTCACAACAACTCGTGGAATTCAGATCCATTTAAGTACAACTATTTTTAATTCCATCAATGCCTAGTCATTTGCTGTAAATTTAATTGTAGAAAGACACTAACTAATCCAATTCAGACTTGGTTATGTACAAATATCTGTCACTACACGATAAAGAAACATTCAAATGTATGCAATTTATGCCCACAATGACAAACAGGCAAGGTTCTTTTTTGTAACTCAAACAGGTGATGCCAATATTTGAAACTCTCGTGCACATCACTGTATTACAATAGAGCAAAATCCTTATCTCATGCACCAGTCACGTGTCAGCATCAGATGGACATTGGTGAACAATGACACGTGCAAGTGATATATATTGTGGGTAGCCCGAAATTGAACAAACAGCTAAGCTTGCTTTAGTGTCATATCCTGCATGAGTTTAGCCATTAGTCAGGCTTTGGAAGGTGAACAAACCAGTTTTTCTCCACCCTTTGGCCAACCACATCCTATCAAACTCACTTAGTCCTACCAAAATCTTTAGTCTTTCAACTTAACTCTTCTATAAATATCCATTGATGCATGTTCTTCTTCCTCCAAGAACAACATTGAAGCTTCTGTTCTCACCCGAAAACACCACAATCTGCGAAAATTCAGCTAAACTAACTTCCTAGAATCTTTGTTCGATTCAAAAGCAATGGCTGCTTCTAAGCATTGTTACCTTTTGGCTTTTTTCATGGCATTGTCGTTTTTGAGCCTCCCCGGGAGCCCGGAAGCTCGCCACCTTCTGCAAGCTCCTACACTTCCCACAATGCCTACACTTCCACCTCTGCCTAAATCCACATTGCCACCAATTCCAAGCACCTTGCCTATTCCTACTTTGCCAACCATGCCTACTATTCCCACGGTCACAATGCCTCCTTTGCCTGCCACGCTGCCCACCATCCCAACAACAATTCCATCCATTCCAACGACAATTCCGGCCATCCCAACCATTCCAACGACGATGCCTACAATTCCTGCCTTCTCACCACCCCCATCCTAGACTAGGTCTTGAGATGCTACATTTTCCATACTTCTTTCTCCCTCTTTGATTATTTGTGTATAGGCTTTGCGTTTTAGAAGTTTTTCGTATGAGTCCTTGTGTATTTGTTGTCTTGGTCAGTTGTGTGAATTTTCATTTGTGTTGATGTTTCTTCTTTGTATTCAAATTGGTTGTTGATATATATGATCATTACGCTTGTTCTCTATTAGCAATATATACATTAACAAATTGCTTTCAATTTAGAAACAACAACAAATTAAGGTAAGTGCTAAAATTTTTTGACATGACACATTAACACCATGAACCCAAAAATGACATGATCAAGTTTGAAGTGAGATGAATTCATATCAATGATCAATTCCCAAAAATGAGGCATTTGTCTTAGTACAGGAGTGATTTTACTATAAAATCTGTTAAACTTCTTTTAATATTATCCATCATAAACTACTCATAACCATTACATAAGGCTCCCATATGCAGGTGGTCTAGGAGAGAAATACACAATTTACGCCTATTTTGGAGGGCTTGATTCTTGTGCTCGAACTCTAATCGTTCGAGGAATTACAGTCACCCTAACTCTGACATCTAATTCTTCAATTGTCAATGTAATAAATAAAATTGAAAAATAACTCTTTCTACGAAAAAATAATCAATCCAACAACAATGATCAGAGTTAAGATCTATTCAAACTACTAGTTATTTGCAATTTCTTCAATTCTTGACCACTACGAAAAAATTTATTGTACAAACCAAAGTATTTCAATGATCTCATAATACAGAGCGAGTAATTTTGCATCGATAGAATGGGAGGAATTAGTATTGGAAGGCATCCTATCCTAATTCATGTATCAACCATATTAGTTTTGTCATTAATCAGTTAATCAGATCCCCTTATTTAATTAAAATCATTGATCTTTAAGCCTAATTATTTAATCTCATCATTGCTAGATTGGACTTGATTAGCTAAAAAAAAAACTATATTCCATTGATAGCGTTTTTTCAAGTAATTTTCTTTGAGCAAATAAGTAATTGTGTCATAAAAATAATCATTTTGATTATCATTTCACAAAAATTAGTTAGATGAATCTTAATGTAGATATAATACACTTATTTACACGTGTGTGTGTGTATATCTATATTACTCCATGTACATGTAGTAATAAAGATATGTTACCAAACATTAGTTTATTAATGGAGCTCTTAGCTACTTTGACTTTGCAGCCTAATCTTTCATGTTAGACATACCAACTGGATAAAAAGATAGTTTTGTGTACAAGACTTTCATCAATACAAGAAATGAGAATACTCAAACATACGCAGCTAATTGCTTGTCCGTATATGAATAGATTCTTCGAGTAACTCGCACGGACGGCTCAAGAACATAAGATGCCTGAAGCCATAAGTGTCATTTTATTTTTTTTAATAATATTCCAAATATTTAACTTTTAATTTAATTTTTTCTGAAATGCAATTTGATAGGATTATAATCAATTATTTCATAAATATTTTTACATTCTTCTTATTCTTATTATATTTTTTTGGATAGAAAAAAGTCAGAAAAAGATTTGATAATGTCAAATTTTCTTGTTAACCTTTATTGTATTTCAACAAAAGTGATTGTGCGAGGTGTGTTAGACTTTAGGACCCAAATTTTACAATTATTTTTATATTAATTTTTAATATTTGATCGTTACAATATTATTGACCTTTTAAATTTGGGACTTTATTTAAAAACGGGGTCTAAAGCCCACACTTGTTTTCCTCCTCTCATGAGCCGATAACTTGAACAAGTGTGAACCATTCACAAAGCAAGGTTACAACATATATAATAATCTTACCACTGTGCCAACACATGACTCGTATAACGGTGGGATATTAAAACAACATATCATATGAGCATTTGCTGTGATTTGTGTGCGATGAACAATAAAAAAAACACAAAATAAAAAGATGAACACAAGAATTTTTACGTAGTTTAACAACTTGTTTACATCCACAATAAAACGGCTGCCTTGTTTTTTATTCCACACCAAAAGTTGGGTTATGACTTAATTTATATATATATATAGGTTACAACCCTAATTAGGACAAATTCCAATTTTGTTATTCTCCGACAGTTGACCTATTATCTTTAAATCTAATTTACCTCTCCATATATTAAATCCGAGTCATCTATTCTAACAGCATTGGTGAACCATAAAAAGTGCAAGTGATCTAAGATGTGGATTGCCCCAAATACAACTGCTAAGCCTGCTGCAGTGGCATATCATCCATTAGTTTAAGCATTTTTCTATGTTGAATCACATTAAATTTGGCCATTAGTCAAAGCTTGGAAGGCAACCAAACTAGTTTTTCTCCACTATTCGGCCAACCACATCCTATCAAACTCACACAGTCCTACCAAAATCTTCAGTCCTTGAACATTACTCTTCTATAAATAACCATTGATGCATGTTCTTCTTCCTCCAAGAAACAACATTGAAGCTTTTGTTCTCACCCAAAAACCCCACAATTTGCGAAAATTGAGCCAAACTAGCTCCTAGAATCTTTGCTCAATTAAAAAACAATGGCTCCTTTTAAGCATTGCTTCCTTCTGGCTTTCATCGTGGCATTGTCATTTTCGAGCCTCCCCGGGAGCTCGGAAGCTCGCCACCTTCTGCAAACTCCTCTACCCGCTGCACCTACACTTCCCACAATGCCTACACTTCCACCTCTGCCTAAAGCCACATTGCCACCAATTCCAAGCACCTTGCCAATTCCTACTTTGCCAACCATGCCTACCATTCCCGTTGTCACAATGCCTCCTTTGCCAGCCACACTGCCCACCATCCCAACAACAATTCCATCCATTCCGACCATTCCAACAACAATTCCGGCCATCCCAACCATTCCAACGACGATGCCTACAATTCCTGCCCTCTCACCATCCCCATCCTAGACTAGGCCTTGAGATTCTACCTTTTCCACACTTCTTTCTCCCTCTTTTAGTATTTGTGTCTGGATAGGCGTTGTGTTTTGGGAGCTTTTCGGACGAGTCGTTGTTTATTTGTTGTCTTGGTCAGTTGTGTGAATTTTCATTTGTGTTGATGTATCTTCATTGTATTCAGATTGGTGTTTGTTATATATGATTACAGTTGTTCTCTACTAGCAATATATACTTTGTTTTGCCTGCATAAGCAAACTGTTTTCAATTTAGAAACAACAACAAATTAAGGTAAGTACTAAATTTTTTTGACATAACACATTAACACCATGAACTCAAAAATGGCACGATCAAGTTTGTAGTGTGATACATTCATATCAACGATCAATTACCAAAGATGTGTTTGTGTTAGTACAGGAGTGACCTTACTATAAAATCTGTTAAGCTTCTTTTAATATTCCATCATAAACAACTCATAACAATTACATAAGGCGTAGGTGATCTTGCTCATTTTGGAGAGCTTGGTTCTCGTAGTCGAAGTCTAATCGCTTGAGGAATTACTATCACCCTAAATCTGACATCTAAAGTATGTAATAAATAAAATTGAAAAATAACTCTTTCTACGAGAAAATAATCAATCCAACAACAATGACCGAAGTTCAGATTCATTCAAAACACTAGTTATTTACAATTTCTTCAATTCTAGATCATCTACCAAATTTATTGTACAAACCATAGTATTTCAACGATCTCATAAATACTCAACAAGTAATTTTGGATGGATAGAATTGGAGGAATTAGTATTAGAAGGCATCCTATCCTAATTACTATACCAACCATATTAGTTTTGCCATTACTCAGATAATCAGATCTCCTTATTTAATTTAAATAATCGAACTTTGAACGTAATAATTTAATGGAGAATTTGGAAGCCGGTATAATTTTTTAGACCTATTTTGGTTAAAATACAACTCAAAAACTTATTTAGGGTAAAGTACATATTTTATGAAAATACCAGTATTGCCATTCATTAGTTAATGGAAAACGTATAAAACCTTTTGTATTCCTCCGTATATTATGGGTATAAGCATTTAATGGGAGGTTTAAACGAGGGATTTAGTTTATCAAAACAGTTTCAAATTCGTCATCCTCAATCTTCAGCATCCACAATCTTCGTGTAACGCCCCAAAAACCCCCTTGGGTGACATTACATTCTAAAAATTATTCACCGCATGAGAGCATTAAGTAAATCCATCACGACGAAAGTTTCATTCATCCACCATTCATATTTTAACAAAATTTGGGCAGAGTCTCATCTGTTCGGGGAGCTCTACGCAAAACACAACTTGTGCAATTCTACTGTAATGACCACACCGGGTCCATTTAACTACCATAAAATCAATCCATCCAATTTACATGTTATCCCAAAAGAATAGGCCAAGTTATGGCCTTTACATTCCCACAAAAGTACTATAATACACAGCGAAATTTATAAAATAAAAATTAGGCTATACAATTCTCTCAAAAGATTATCCAAGTCTATAACAAAAGAAAGGGGGGTCGCTCTAAGCATCCACCTCGGGATCCACGCTCCCTTCTATCGGAGTCTCCAAATATGTCGGCCCCTCGACTCCCAGCTCCTCGTCAAAGGCAAAATCTGAAAGGTGGGGAAGTAGGGGGGTGAGCACAAGGCTCTGTAGGAGGATCCTTCCAAACCCATTCAAGGTTTTGAAATCAAGTAAAACAGGTAGGTCACGTTTCGCACATACATATAAATGAATTTTGAAGTAAAGTAAGGACATTTTAAAGGAGATCTCAAGTTTGTACAATAATAAGGACTTGAACGAGAATAAAACCACGTTTAATTGACAAACAATTTCCAACATAATCCACTCCACCATACACCATTTCCACAAGGTATCGCGGCATCCCATACTACCCGAAACTCTTGGAGAAATAATATTTGGTACAATGAACAAAAATTTCTATTTGGTACCACTCAAGTAGGTTGTCGCTTCTCATGAATCTACCCGACGATTCTACCTCGTTCACCCATTTCCACTAACAATCACAGACCAATTTAGGAAGGGCGTGTACCGTCTCATACGGCCTTGACGAGATCCTCCCAAGGTGTCTAGTATACTAACCCTTTTCCCCGGTATCCGTGAACAATAGTGGTCACTGTCACCACAGTGATCCACTACGAGCATTAGACAGCCATCTCACCCCCTATTGGGATAGACTAACCTCTAACACTCTA